ACGTGGCCGGTCGTGCGCTAACAGATGACGAAAATGCCAGAACACATGCGATAACAAACAGAAGAAAAACTTTTAGACCTAAGAATGTCAATTTGGCCATTTTTTGGTTGTAGAAAAATGTATTTTATCTGTTCGTGTGTTTATAATGAAGAATTGTGAGCTTATTTATATGCACAAGTGGATAAGTGAAAAGAACTACTTGAATTGGAATGGAAAGGTCTATCACAGAATTAGCTTTCCATACAGCTAATGGTAAGTCACCAATGGACCCTCCTATCTGATATCTACCAAACCCTATTAATAATGTATTATCCTTTGATGTTTGTTTTATACCTTCTATCCTTGTTTATACCATGCTAGGGTTGCTACATGGGATTTTATGTTTTGGTTACTCCCTTACCTCTTGTAATTATCATCGTCATGATCTTTTAGGGGTGTATTTAATTGAGACTCTTGAAAACTTTAATGGACTTTTTTTAAGTGATGACTTATGTGGATTTCATGGATATTTTAGAGATTTGTATGAAATTAGTGGAAGTTTTTTGTAGATTTTTATAAACTTTTATTTTAAAACTTTTAGAGACTTTTGTAAAATACAAAAGACTTTTGAAAACTTTCATTTGAGATATAATTTATCAGGATCTAATGCAGTATTATGAAATTATCATATACGAGATGATGCTTCTCACAATTCCTACTTCTGCTTCCTTTTCCCCCCTCATATAATAAAAAAATATTTTAAAAAGAATTAAAATTTAAGTCGTTAATTAAATAAAAAATAATTATTATACATATAAAAAATAAATTTAATATTCAGTATTATTAATATAATATACCTTTAAAGAATAGATAAAAAAATGTATATATATTTAATTATAAATTAGTCTATAATTTAATTAAAAAATACAATTTAATTTTTTCATAGAAAATAGAAATAAAAAATAAGAGAGAGAAAGAAAAATAGAAACTAATACAATCAATAGGAAAAAAAAATTCTAATCATAACTCTAATGTTTGTATAAGGGAAAAGGAACGAGAAATATTTAAAAAAATACATATTATTTTTTTCTTTTTTTGTGAAAGTCTTCCAAAATCTTGTGATTAATGAGAGACAAATTCTAAAATTTTATTTGAGTATTTTCTGATTAAAATTTAGTACGACGGAGACTTTTATAGAAGTCTCTAAAAGTCATAAAAAATTGAATATCTCAAAACTTATAGAGACTTTTAAAAAGTTTTAATTGAATATACCGTTACTTTTAGAGACTTTTTAAAAATTTATAAAAGTCTCAATTGAATACACAAATACTTTTAAAGAGTCTCCAAAAGTCTACATTGAATATCCCTAAACTTTTTAAATCCTCAAAAGTCACTAAAAGTCTCAATTGAATACACCCTCCTGAATACCCGAAAATTTCAGGTTGGTTCGGTTCTCTTTAAAATCGAATCGGATCGGATCATGCACATCCCTAATTGTTTATGTCACACGATTCTTCCATTCTTCCGTTTCTAGAATCTCCAAGGTGATTGAATCTCCAAGGCGATGTACAAAATACAAATTATCATCAAAATGGGGAAATGATACACTCAAATGCAATGCATGGGTACCATTCAAACTAGGCGTGCTAAACATATCTTTCATGCCTTGCAACTCTTCAAAATTTTCTTGGCATGATATTTTTCCCTCCTCGTGGCCATAAAATTGTTTCAGGGGATTTGTTTCCTCCAATTTTAGA